GAAGGTGAAGAGAGATGCAGAGAACGTGACGGGGTTCAACGATGGTGAGAATAAGGAAAACGTCAGGGATTGGAAGGAGGTGTTTGATTTCATGGTTCGGGATCGGACGTTGATTCCGGCACCGGGCGAGCCAGATGACACGAAATTGAGGGCATTGTCCAATCAATGGCCGCAATATCCCCCTGGGTTCAGGTACTTACTTTTCGGTCGAATTTGTTCCTTGTCTTAAAGCATCTACTTAACAGATTCCAGATTCCTCGCTTGTATTAGTTCCCTTGCGATAATCTAGTTCATTTTTCTTAATTGGATTACTTGAAAGAGAATTAAGGGGTTTGTTATTGGGTAGAGGAACTGGCACGCCAACTGTTCGACTAAATTCCCCTGTGAAACTTTCAGCTTGCATTTCTTCATCTTCTGTTGGAAAAACTTGTTATACTTAGCTTTCAGATGTTTCTGGGAAATGGTGTGTCGGTTTTCTTGAACAGGGAAACTTGCGAGGAGTATGCAAGAGAGTTGGAATTGCTAGCTCATAAATTACTGGGGCTAATTTGTTTGAGTCTAGGCTTACCTGGTGCTGATGGATTGAATGGCTATTTCCAAGACGTGCAAATGAGCATGGTGAGGCTGAATCACTATCCTCCATGTCCGTCTCCCAATCTCGTGCTTGGCATTGGCCCTCATAAGGATCCTGCTGCCTTGACAATCCTTGCTCAGAATGATGTTGTAGGGCTGCAAGTAAATAGAAAATCAGATGGAGAGTGGATTCCTGTCAAACCAATCCCAAATGCATTTATTGTTAACATTGGTGATATTGTTCAAGTAAGTTTCTATTCTACGTACCGATACACAATTTACTTATGTATTTATATACATAATATATACGTTTACATCGTTGTCCTCTTCAACCATGGTTATGTGAACATGATGCAATTTTAAGAAGCATAAATTGACCTCTGATACTTGTGTGTGAGTAGCATTGATTAAGGAAAGATAAACTTAGTCTAGAGAGTTGGTTTTCTGAAGGAGGATTGACAAGCGTGTCGAGGTTTGGCCGCACTTGCTGCTCTTGTACGGTGGAAAAGAAAACATTTTCCATTCTGTTCGTTAAAAGCTTCATGGGGTAGCAAACTGGGATTTCAAACTCTTTACCCCCTCTGTATCCAGTTGTTTCAGTAGAGTGGTTGTGTGACACTTGTAAAACTTCCTTAGCATCTTCGACAGGTAAGGTAATAGATGAGATTCGTGATTTGATTATTAGAACTCTTATAACTCTTAGGTATATAGCTCCCGGTGTAGCCCAGCCSAATTGGTAAGAGTTTGGAGTCTCTTAGTCATACTGGCTTGGAGTTCTTAAGTTCAAGTTCTAATGAGCTTGATACTAAAATCTCTTGATGTCGTCCAGGTCCAGGCCTTGGGATGGGCGCCTGCGGGTGCCTTTGGATATAGCAGATTAAAGTTCCGACTCTCGGTTATAAAAAAGAAAAGGAAAGAAAAAAAAACTCTTAGGTATATAACTTCTTTAGTCTCCCCAAGAGCCAACAGCTGAGAACCGTGAACCGGCAACCAAAACTCTTTGGTATTAGATTTCTTTAGTCTCTCCAAGAGCCACCATGATTTGATTACTAGAACTCTTTAGCTAGCACTTCCAGCTGAAACGTTTTTTCTTCAATTCCTTAGACTCTTCGCCGTACACCGAAGATTTATTCCTGCCGTTGACGAATGTGGCGTGGACAAAGTTTGATCCGAATTGATCATGTTGTATTTGCAGGTTTGGAGCAATGACAAATATGAAAGTGTGGAGCACAGGGCGGTGGTGAATAGTGAGAAGGAAAGATTTTCGTTTCCATTCTTCTTCTTGCCAGCGCACCATATGATGGTGAAGCCATTGGAGGAGCTTGTAAATGAGCAAAACCCTCCAAAATACAGAGAATACAACGTGGGGAAGGTTCTTTGCATCAGAAAACGAAGTCATTTCAAGAAGTAAGAAGTGGAAGACATCCAAATTCACCATTTCAGGCTGCATGTGTGAAACTGGTAAAGCTGATGTCATGACTATAATTTATTAATTTATATCTTCACAACTCTCTTTCTAAATAAATAAATAAGAAGAAAAAGAAAGTGAGCTACATGGGCTGAGACTCACCCATCTTTTATGTAAATATTGTATGGATGTTTATGCATTGTGTATTGTTGTTGTTATCCATTTTCAAGTCTCATATGATCTTAAACTCTCTTCATTATGTTTCAATATTAGAAAGAGTGTGATAAAATTTACAACTCTATAATGAGACCTTTAATTCTCTTTATATATTCAATTAGAATGTGACCTAAGTTCAACCATCGTGAGTTGATCTAGTGGTCAATAAAGGTAGATTTAAAATAAAGGGCTTAGAGGGAATACGTTTTGGTAGCCACCTATTTTAGGATTCTGGTTTTTTAGACTACTGGACATAGGAGGGCTCGAACCTGAATCTTGGATGTTGACATCCAAACCTTTCGTAGCTGCACCAATCCCCGATGGTGCAATTTAATTAGCTAGCTAGTCTTCTTTTTTTTTTTTTTAAATTAAGATCGGATTCAGTACATATCAACATTTTTTTTAAATAATGCTCATTTGACACCTATTTATAAAAAAAAAATTCATACTTTGAAACTATCTTAAAAAATAATCTTTAATCATTAAGACACAACCATATCTTTTTTTTTTTCAAATAAAATAATGGTCACGATCATCTAGCCATATATTTGTGCTCGTTTCTTAAAGAGCCGTTGATTTTTTTGGAAAAATAAAATAAAATTTATATATTAACAAATAGCATACTACTTCCAATATTATTCTTTGACTTAGTAGATCACGTAGCACCTTCCTTACAACATTGGCCCTGATTCGACTTTTATTTTTAGCATTTTTATAACGATTATAATTTTCAACCATAACAATAATAAGAAAGTAAAAAGTTGATTAACATAAAATATGCAAATAGTAAAACTCGAACTCAGCAGGGCAAAGTTGTAAATATGATGTTACATCTATTGAGTCAAAGACTAATATCTGGAACAATATACCAGTTTATGTAGTTATCAATTTTTTAAAAAGTTAATTAACGACAATAATATTTTAAAGGGAACAATATACCAAATAATCGTTAGGCAATTCTTAAATTGGTCTTTAATCTTCTTAAAATTATCAAATTGTATTAAAAATGTAAGGATAATTACTTAAAAAAATAAAACTATTAACAAAATGTTGATGGATTATCATATTAGTAACATATTTGAACCTGGAAACATACTACTTAGTCATACCAGATGAACTTGTCCATTAACAAAATCATATTGTTTAAATATATTAATAAAACAGTTTTGAACAAATATGTTTTTCGTGGTTAATTTTTTTCAAAAGATAACAATAATAAAAAGAAAGAGAAATAAATATTTGGGATTTGGGGGTTGGATGATGTGGCAATAGAGCACATGAAATATTGTGGTACCGTCCGCAGAAGATGAAAACTCAATCGCCTTAAATTCATCGACAGTAGGTGTCACTCACCGGAGAATCGCCGTCGACAAATCGCATGGAGGTTTCAAACTCCATTGTCGAGACCCATAAAAGCTAAAAACGCGTAATCAATTTCCAAAAAACTTCGGCACGGATTTCTTCACAAGATTCCCCAACCATCTCTGTACATTACCAAAACTACAAATATGCGTCGAAGAGAAGGCAATGTAGTTTCAGTCAGAGCATCACCACTTTTACATGCAGGTTACTGCGGCGAAAGCAGAGCAACAATTTTGGGCTCTGTTGGTTTTGTGGTGTCGCAGCCATGGGAGAGACCTTGGCCTTCCATCCTGCCTTCGTCCGAGACATCGAACACCGCCCGAAGCTTGAACCCATTGATACCGTCGACGAAGTTCCGACCATAGACCTCTCCGTTTCCGAATCTCGCAGTATCGAACAGCTCGTTTCGGAGATAGCCTCTGCCTGTGAGAAGTGGGGTTCATTCCAGGTAATCAACCATGGAGTTCCCGTCGAGTTGATCGTGAGACTTGCGAAAGCAGCAAAGTTGTTTTTCGATCAAACAGTGGAGGAGAAGAGGAAGGTGAAGAGAGATTCAGAGACTGGCCTGGGGTTCTACGATGGTGAGAATACGGAAAACGTCAGGGATTGGAAGGAGGTGTTTGATTTCTTGGTTCAGGATCGGGCGTGGACTCCTGCCTCGCACGAGCCAGATGATACGAAATTGAGGGTATTGTCCAATCAGTGGCCCCAATATCCGCCTTGGTTTAGGTATAATTTCTGTCGAATTTGCTCCTAGTCTTAAGCAAATACTGAACAGGTTCCCGATTCATTGCTTTTTTTAGTTCACATGCGAAAATCTAGTTCACTTTTCTTAATTGAATTACTTGAAAGAGAACTAAGGGGTTTGTTATTGGGTTGGAGGAACTGGCACACCAACTGTTCGACTAAATTCCCCTGTGAAACTTTCAGCTTGCATTTCTTCATCTTCTGCTGGAAAAACTTGTTATACTTATCTCACAGTTTCTGGGAAATGGTGTGTTGGTTTTCTTGAACAGGGAAACTTGCGAGGAGTATGCAAGAGAGTTGGAATTGTTAGCTCATAACCTACTGGGGCTAATTTGTTTGAGTCTAGGCTTACCTTGTGCTGAAGGATTGAGGGGCTATTTCCAAGACGAGAAAATGAGCACGGTGAGGCTGAATCACTATCCTCCATGTCCGTCTCCCGATCTCGTGCTTGGCATTGACCCTCACAAGGATCCCGGTGCCTTGACAATCCTTGCTCAGGATGATGTTGGAGGGCTGCAAGTGAAGAGAAAATCGGATGGAGAGTGGATTCCTGTCAAACCAATCCCAAATGCATATATTGTTAACATTGGTGAGATTATTCAAGTAAGTTTCTATTCTATGTACCGATATACAGTTTACTTATCTTATATACATATACGTCTTTGTCCTCTTCAACCATGGTTATGTGAACATGATGTGCAATTTTAAGAAGCAAAAATGACCTCTGATACTTGTGTGCGAGTAGCATTGATTAAGGAAAGATAAACTTAGTCTAGAGAGTTGGTTTTCTGAATGAGGATTGGCAGGCCTGTCGAGGGTTTGGCCGCTCTCGGTGCTCTTGGACAGTGGTAAAAGAGAACATTTTTCATTCTGTTCAATAAAAGCTTCAAGGGTAGCAAACTCGTGTTGCAAACCCTTTACCCCCTGTATCCAGTTGTTTCATTAGAGTGGTTGTGTGACACTTGTAAAACTACTTAGTATCTCGAGAGGTAAGGTAATAGATTAGAACCATGATTCGATTATTAGAGGTATATAGCCCCCAAGGGGCAATCCAGTTGGTATGGACTTGGAGTCTCTTGGTTATACTGGTAATGATGGCTTAGAGGTCTGAAGTTTAGACCTTCTCGTGAGCTTAATATTAAATTTTCTTGATGCCTTCCGAGTCCAGGTCTTGGGGCGGGCACGGGTGTCCGTGGATACATGGTAGAAAAAAGATGAGAAAAAAGAAACTCTTAGGTATATAACTTCTTTAGTCTCTCCAAGAGGCAACAGCTGAGAACCGTGAATCAGCAACCAAAACTATTTGGTATTAGATTTCTTTAGTCTCTCCAAGAGCAACCATGATTTGATTACTAGAACTCTTTAGCTGCCACTTCCAACCGAAACGTTTTTTCTACAATTCCTTAGGCTCTTCGCGGAACACCAAAGATTTCTTCTTGCCATTGACGAATGTGGCGTGGATAGTATGATCTGAATTCATGTTGTATTTGCAGGTTTGGAGCAATGACAAATATGAAAGTGTGGAGCACAGGGCAGTGGTGAATAGTGAGAAGGAAAGATTTTCCTTTCCATTCTGCTTCTTGCCAGCGCACCATATGATGGTGAAGCCATGGGAGGAGCTTGTAAATGAGCAAAACCCTCCAAAATACAGAGAATACAACTGGGGGAAGTATTTTTGCATGAGAAAACGAAGTCATTTCAAGGAGCAAGAAGTGGAAGACATCCAAGTTCACCGTTTCAGGCTGCCCGTGTGAAACTGGTAAAGCTCTCATCACACACAAGACTTCTTTGGGCTGAGACTCACCCATCTTTTATGTAAATATTGTATGCATGTTTATGCATTGTGTGTTGTTTGTTATCCATTTTCAAGAGTTGTATGATCTTAAACTCCCTTCATTACGTTACTTTGATACTTATAATTCTGGGGCTCGAGTATGAACTAGGGTTCAAACCGGTATCACATCCGAATGAGAGGATCCTGAGATACGATTAAGGAATTATTCCTTCTTTTTCGGTGGCTCAATTATTTGGATGACCTCCTAGGTATATTATATGTATATACAATAAGATATTTGAACTAATGACTTCTTGATAAATGTAAATTACGACCAACTTTTAAGTTCATGTTTGTGGCAAAAGTCATTAGATTAACTAAATTTAATTATTAAAATAGGAAATTATCTAAACAAAATCTATTTTTGAAAATTTAAGAATATTTGTACTTGAAATTGTCTAAGAAATCATTTGAATAAAACCAAATCAGATTATCTAATTAGCTAATTATATCTCAACTAAATTTGATCTTGAATCTCAACTAAATCTAATTTGATCGAGAGACCGCCTTCAACCATTTTTTTAAATAAAATTTTCAATTTTTTTCTATTTCAAATAATGGACTAAAACAAATCAAATCTAATTAATTATTTAAATAATTAGTAAATTAAATCTAAAGTTAATTAATAATTATATTTAATTTAAATTTAATTAACCAATTAGTTGTAGTTCAAGCTCAACTCAGACTGTATTTGTGAATATATTTTATAGTAGTTATTTAGTTTTTTTTTTCAAAGAAATTTGGATGCATATATTTACACCAATCAAAAGATTCAGAGCCAAAACTTTCATTAATTTGGTCAACCAAATCTTACATCATCAGTTTTTTGCTTTGTTCCCCATTGTTGATGCATGGATTTTCGGTCGTCCGGTTCTCCTCCTCGTAGTCACTTAAGTTAGTAAGAGAACAAGGTAAATGTAGTCACTTCTTCCCCCCCTTACCTCTAAGGCTGGATCGCTACTTATAGCGTGAAGTTGTTCCAGAACTTTCCTCGCTCTTTGCCCCGACATTAGGTCGTTCTCTGGGCCGGCCCGTTACGTCACGGGCCGGTCTCTACCAATCAATGATCTCAGACTTCAACTCCTTGTCCCGTTTCGGGTCGTTTTTGTTCTCCATAACACCCATTACATTCAAACAATTTTCTAGATAATTTTCCAAACAATGTTTTTAAAATTTTCGAAATTAGATTTAATTTTTTAAAAAAGTTAATAATTAGTTTTTTTTTAGGTTAATTTCATAAAATAAGTAGTTAAAAAATTGTCTTGGACGTGGACAATTTGGAAAAGTCTTTCCCACTACTCATTCAATTCGAGATAGGGGAGCTTATGATCAAGATGTTCTTGCCTTCCATGCTCTCACTCAAATCGGAACCATTGAATTTTGAAAACTTATATTTAAACAATTATTTATTTTAAAGTTAATTTCGTATAAATATATATATTTTTAAATATAGTGTAAAATTTAAATTTTTAAAAATAGGATAAATCAATCTAAATCTAATCTAAATGAGAGGTAAAATATACTAATTTATGTTGTCTTTAAAACAAATTAAAAATTGTGACATTTTTAAAAATGTAGATTAATTTTATGCCAGTGAAGTTATCGTTACAGTATTAAGGAAAAAAAAAAAAGGTTTCTTATTTTTTTTATTTTTATCTTTTTTTTTTGCAAAAGGACTTACTTATACGCGTCAAACTCAGAAATTCAGCCACACTTGGATAGAAACTCAAAAATTTCAAATTTAGTTAACGACAAATCTTCATTTGTTCCACCAACAATGACGAGAACTGCAAATCCGTCCAAATTCATTTCTGGTTGCAGCTTTAAAATGGTGACAATGGCAACCACTAGTTACGATTTGATAGAATCTCAGCCATGGGAGAGGCCTTGGCCTTCGATCCTGCATTCATCCAAGCCATCGAACACCGGCCGGAGCTCGAACCCATCGATACCGTCGACGAAGTTCCAACCATAGACCTCTCCGTCTCTGATTCTCGCAGTATCGAACAGCTCGTTTCGGAGATAGCCTCTGCCTGTGAGAAGTGGGGTTTCTTCCAGGTGATCAACCATGGAGTTCCCGTCGAGTTGCACGCGAGACTTGATAAAGCAGCGAAGTCGTTTTTCGATCAAACAGTGGAGGAGAAGAGGAACGTGAAGAGAGATGCAGCGAATGCCATGGGGTTCCACGATGCTGAGAATACGAAAAACGTCAGGGATTGGAAGGAGGTGTTTGATTTCTTGATTCGGGATCGGACGTTGATTCCTGCCTCGCACGAGCCAGATGATACGAAATTGAGGGTATTGTCCAATCAGTGGCCCCAATATCCCCCTGGGTTCAGGTACTTACTTTTCGGTCGAATTTGTTCCTTGTCTTAAAGCATCTACTTAACAGATTCAGATTCCTCGCCTGTATTAGTTTCCTTCGATAATCTAGTTCATGTTTCTTAATTGGATTACTTGAAAGAGAATTGAGGCGTTTGTTATTGGGTTGGAGGAACTGGCACACCAACAGTTCAACTAAATTCCCCTGTGAAACCTTCAGCTTGCATTTCTTCATCTTCTGCTGGAAAAACTTGTTATACTTAGCTTACGGTTCCTGGGAAATGGTGTGTTGGTTTTCTTGAACAGGGAAACTTGCGAGGAGTATGCAAGAGAATTGGAATTGTTAGCTGATAAGCTACTGGGGCTAATTTGTTTGAGTCTAGGCTTACCTGGAGCTGAAGGATTGAGGGGCTATTTCAAAGACGACCAAACGAGCGTGGTTAGGCTGAATCACTATCCTCCATGCCCGTCTCCGAATCTCGTGCTTGGCGTTGGGCATCACAAGGATGCCGGTGCCTTGACAATCCTTGCCCAGGATGGTGTGGGAGGACTGCAAGTGAAGAGAAAATCAGATGGAGAGTGGATTCCTGTCAAACCAATCCCAAATGCATATATTGTTAACATTGGTGATATTGTTCAAGTAAGTTTCTGTTCTAGGAATCGATATACAATTTACTTATGTCTTCTTCGGCCATGGTTATGTGAACATGATGCAATTAAGCAAAAATGACCTCTGATACTTGTGTGTGGGTAGCATTGATTACGAACGATTAACTTAGTCTAAAGAGTTTGTTTTCCGAAGGAGGATTGACAGACGTGTCGAGGTTTGGCTATACCACAAGCACTCGCTGCTCTTGTACAGTGGGAGAGAACATTTTCCATTGTGTTCATAAAAGCTTCCAAGGGTAGCAAACTGGGATTTCAAACTCTTTTACCCCTCTGTATCCAGTTGTTTCATTAGAGTACACTTGTAAAACTTCCTTACTTTCTCCAAGAGCTAATAGCAGAGAACCATGATTTGGTTACTAGAACTCTTTAGCTTCCACTTCCGACTGAAATGCTTTTTCCACAATTCCTTAGACTCTTCGCCGAAAACCGAAGATTTCTTCTTGCCATCGACGAATGTGGTGTGGACAAAGTATGATCTGAATTGATGTTGTATGTGCAGGTTTGGAGCAATGACAAATATGAAAGTGTGGAGCACAGGGCGGTGGTGAATACTGAGAAGGAAAGATTTTCCTTTCCATTCTTCTTCTTTCCAGCGCACCATATGATGGTGAAGCCATTGGAGGAGCTTGTGAATGATCAAAATCCCTCAAAATACAGGGAATACAACTGGGGGAAGTTCTTTTGCACCAGAAACCGCAGTGATTACCAGAAGCAAAAAGTGGAAAACATTCAAATTGACCATTTTAGGCTGCTTGTGTGAATTGGTAAAGCTCTCATGACTATTTCCATTGCCTTATATCTTCACAACTCTCTCTAAATAAATTCAATAAGAAGAGAAAGGAAAGTAAAGTTGATGAGCTGAGCCTCACCATATTGTATGTAAATATTGTATAGTTGTGTAGATTTTGCTGTGTCATATGATCTTAAACTCCGTTCATTACGTTCAAGTTTCAATATTAGTTTTAGTGCAATTTGATAAAATTTATAATTCTGTTTTTAAATTCTATAATGAAGCCTTTAATTCTATTTATATATTGGATTTGTTTCGAATTCAACCTGGCCGATATATGGTTTGTGGAACATTATTTGGATTAAGTTTGAAAAGAGTGAAAATGTGAAAGTTGGAGCGTACTATTTAAACTTTTGAAAGGATATTAGTATTTTTCTAAATAATAAAGTAAAATTAAGGAGTATTTTATAAGTTTGCCAAAGTTTTATGCTTTCAATTTCTTAAACTATTTTATCTTTAATTCTAATTAATTATAGAATTTTAATTGAGTTTGAATTTTAAAAATTTTATAACTTTTATAGAATTATGGAAGAAATATCTTTTATTTCACCAAAGTTACATTTTATTTATGGACACCTAATCGTTTTTTCATTTTTACTATTGTTTTTTAAGGATAAGGAGTGGTATTTTTAAATTTAAAAAAAAATAATCTTTTGTTGATGTGAGTAACAAATTAAATAAAAAAAATATTATATAAAATGTACATGGTAATAGACTAGTCTTCGATGAAAGAAAATGTGAAAATGTTTTTCAAATCTATAAAGGAATTAGACTAGTATTAGATAAAAGACAATATGAATATTTTTTCCAACTTTATAAAGGAATGCAATAAAGACTACAGTTTCTTAAAAAAAATTAATCATAAATTAACCATTGAAACTAATTTCAATTAGTGGAATTTACCATTCGTCTATAAATTTATGATGAATCTTTAGAATGATTGCAATAAAAACTAAAATAGAACCAATAGTAAAGTAAGAGGACAAAAATGGTATTCTGATCAAAATTATTTTAATTGCCACATGAGCACTTTTTACATGTGTTTGGTAGCATCTCCGTGATGATAAGTCTCGCTGTTTTGCTTTTTTGTTTCACTCAGAAAACCTCATATTTAATTGTTCTCATTTATATATCATAAATCATTCATTTACCTAGTTAATGTGAGACTTTGTTTGTATTCATCTTATAAACTTAACAATCCTCCCTTAGAACGAAGTTCCACCGAACTTCTCCTTAAGTGGTCAACCACCTGTCCACTCGAACAAAGTAATCATGGTGTAATTCGTGGTTGAGTTATATCGGAAGCGGATAGTTAGTGTGCTCCGAAGAAGAGGAGTTGTCCTCGATAGGAGTTGGACGGATGAATAACTACTTGAGAGGAGATTTTGTGGCAATTTGTTCGATGGGAGGATGGTAGACGAGTAGGAGTTGTATTTTGCTGTGTCATATGATCTTAAACTCCATTCCTTATGTTTCAAGTTACAATGTTAGAACTAGTGCAATTTGATGAAAAAAAAAGAAAAAACTCTTTAAATTGTATATTGAAGACTTTAATTCTATTTATATATTGGATTTGAGTTTAATATGTATGGTCAATATATGGTATGTGGAGGATTGTCCGAATGGAAAAACTGATACTATTTAAACTTTTGAAAGGATATTAGTATTTTTTTTTAAATAATGTGCAAAGTTGGAGTATTTTTATAAGTTAGCCAAAGTTTTATGCTTTCAATCTCAAACTATTTTATCTTTGATTATAGAATTCCGGTTAGAGTTTGATTTTTAAAATTGTGTAACTTTTACCTTCTTGAGAACTGGAGTTCTCTCTCACTATTATTCCTTCAGCCAACTTTAGTTACATTGAATTGAAGAGAAATTGTACTAAGATCTGTCATTGTTACGTATTTCAAAATATGTCACCTATTTTTTAAATTTTCAAATATAACAAAAATTTTCATTTATATCAGTAATATATCAGACACTAATATCAGTAGCATATTAAATATATTATATACATATTGCACAGACACTCTTATAAGTAATATATCATATATATATCACAGGCATATTATAAGTACAGGGTTTAGACACTCATATCAATAGTATATCATATACGTATATCAGTAGTCATATTTATTACAGATGTATTACGGATGTATATCGTTTGAGTAAAGTTATCATTTTAAAATTGGACTTCTGTTTTTTTTAAAACGTGCTATATTGAAAAAAACTAGATGTGGTTGCTATTTTGCTAATTTTTTACTAAATGTTTTTGACATATGGGTAACAATTACATTTAATTTATATATATTTATTTATTTTTTCTTTTTTACTATTGTTTTTTTTAAGAATAAGAAGTGGTATCTTTTTTAAAACTTTTTATTCATGTTAGTAAAAAATTAAATAAAAGAATATATGTACAATTTTCTTTTTAAACATGTGGGAGTGAGAGATCCGAACTCACAACCTTACTGCTGAGCTGCTATGCTTGCTTTAACAAAGAATATAGGTACAATGCACTTAGTAATAAACTAGTATTCACACAATTGGAATGGAATATGTTTTTCAAAATTTTAAAAGAATGTGTTCTTCAGTCTCACTTCGACTTGAAGTCTTAAGGGTAGACTTGTACAAGAGGGCAAAATCTCTAACGCTCAAGTCACTAAGCAGCTCGGACTCAATAGTAAGTTCGAGGAGAAAATTCCTACCTGATGGTGAAATGAGACCTTCTATTTATAGGTTTAGGTTCCAACACGGGTTATGACGGGTGGTTACCTGGGTCGGACATGAGGTTGGACATGTCGAGTTTGATCTGCTCGAACTCGAATACTTTTCCTTTAAATGATAATTTAATTCTTAAAGGAAGTGGCTAAGTCTTCTACCTCGGAAGGTGTCGAGGTAGAGCTCCATAAAATGTTCTCCCGTATCTTTCCCGAGGGGACGTCAGGTTTCTTCCCTGCAATAAAACTACATTTTTAGAAGAAAATTAATCATAAATTAACCGTTGAAACTAATGTCAAGTAGTGTTTCTTATAAAAAAAAATAAATAAATAAAATTATTTACGATTCGTCTATAAATTTATGATTAATTTTTAGAAGGAATGCAATAAAGAAACTCAGGAAATTTACAATTTATGCGTTTTTTTTGGCGCCAAACTCAGAATCTCGGCCACACTTTGATGGGACTCAAATTTGGTTAACGACAAATCTTGATCTGTTCCTTTGCCAAAAAAATCTTCATCTGTTCCACCAACAATGACAAAATCAATTAATTTCTGGTTGCAGATTTAAGATGGTGACAATGGCAATCACTTGTTACGATTTGATAGAATCTCAGCCATGGGAGAGGCCTTGGCCTTCGATCCTGCCTTCATCCAACCCATCGAACACCGGCCGGAGCTCGAACCCATCGATTCCGTCGACGAAGTTCCAACCATAGACCTCTCCGTTTCCGACTCTCGCAGTATCGAACAGCTCGTTTCGGAGATATCCTCTGCCTGTGAGAAGTGGGGTTTCTTCCAGGTGATCAACCATGGAGTTCCCGTCGATTTGCACGCGAGACTTGAGAAAGCAGCGAAGTCGTTTTTCGATCAAACAGTGGAGGAGAAGAGGAAGGTGAAGAGAGATGCAGCGAATGCCATGGGGTTCCACGATGCTGAGAATACGAAAAACGTCAGGGATTGGAAGGAGGTGTTTGATTTCCTGATTCGGGGTCGGACGTTGATTCCGGCATCGCACGAGCCAGATGACACGAAATTGAGGGTATTGGCCAATCAATGGCCTCAATATCCCCCTGGGTTCAGGTACTTACATTTCTGTCGAATTTTTTCCTTAACTTAAAGCATCTACTAAACAGATACCAGATTCCTTGCCTGTATTAGTTCCCATGTGATAATTTATCTCTGGTTTACTTGAAAAAGAATTAAGGGGATTGTAGTTGAGTTGGGTTTTAAGAACTCGCACACCAACTGTTCGACTAAATTCCCCTGTGAAACTGTGAGCTCGCGTTTCTTCATCTACTGCTGGAAAAAACTTGTTATTGTTGGCTCATGGGTTTTGGGAAATGGCATGTTGGTTTTATTGAACAGGGAGACTTGCGAGGAGTATGCAAAAGAGTTGGAATTGCTAGCTCATAAGCTACTGGGGCTGGTTTCTTTGAGTCTAGGCTTGCCGGCCGATAGATTGAAGGAATATTTCAAAGACGATCAATTGACCATTGTAAGGTTGAATCATTATCCTTTGTGCCCATTTCCCGAGCTCGTGCTTGGCGTTGGCCGCCACAAGGATCCTAGTGCCTTAACGATCCTTGCTCAGGGCGCCGTCGGAGGGCTGCAAGTGAAGAGAAAATCAGATGGAGAATGGATTCCTGTCAAACCAAACCCAAATGCATATATTGTTAACATTGGTGATATTGTTCAAGTGTGTTTCCTTTCTACATTTTGATATAAAATTTCCTAATTATGTATGTAACCTATACATAGAACTCATCTTTCTCGGCCATGATTAATCTGAAAACAATGAGATCTTAAGAATTGCATATGACCTCTGAAACTCGTGTGTGAGTAACATTGGTTAAGAAAGGGATAGCTTTACCTACAGAGTTGGTTTTCTGAAGGAGAAAACAGGGATTTCAAACTCTTTTCCGCTCTGTATCCAGTTGAGTGGTTTTGTGATGCTTATAAAACTTCCTTAGTCTCTCCGAGAGCGAATTGCTGAAGATTGTTTGACAGAGTACAGAGATTTTTGCCACTGATGAATATAGTCTGGATGAAGTATGATCTAAATTCATGTTGTGTGTGGTGTGTGCAGGTTTGGAGCAATGACAAATATGAAAGTGTGGAGCACAGGGCGGTGGTGAATACTGAGAAGGAAAGGTTTTCCTTCCCATTCCTTTTATATCCACCTCACCATATGATGGTGAAGCCATTGGAGGAGCTTGTAAATGAGCAAAACCCTCCAAAATACAGAGAATACAACTGGGGGAAGTTTCTTTGCACCAGAAACCGAAGTGATTTCAAGAAGCAACAAGTGGAAAACATCCAGATTCACCATTTCAGGCTGCCTGTGTGAAATTGGTAGGCTCTCATCACTATTTTCCATTGCCTTATGATGATTTCAGAACACTCTTTTAAATAAATTCAATGAGAAAAAAATGAAGAAAGAAAAGAGAGAGAGAGAAGAAAAGTGAGCTAGATGATCCTCACCATGTTTTATGCAAGTATTGTTAAGATGTTTATGAATAATTATGTAACATTATCCATTTTCATGAATCTTATCATCTTGAACTCTGTCCATAATGTTTTAATCTCATATTATTAATTAGACCTAATGTCAGGATGATGACATGCTACTTGAACTTTGATCATTTTTTTTTAATTCGTTAATGTTTATTCGTTAATGTTTGGAATGCTGAGCAACTAATCTTATGAAATAAACCACCAAAGATATTAAATTTTAGGTAGGTTGCCACCATGATTTAAATTTATTTCTTCAAAATTCATTACTAAAATTTATAATTATCTTTCGTGGTTGGCTTGATTGCGGAACATTTCGAGTGATTTCAAATATTAATGATTTCAAATGTATTCTATTGTTTGTTATTACAGGAATGAGAATTGTTTTAAGTATATAAATTTCTTGACCAAAATAATTGTCGCAAGATTTAATAGGATTTTAAGGCAAATTATATATTTAATCTTGTCATATTTTCTATTTTTTAATTAATAAATTAATATTAAAAACCTATATAATAAACTTTTAATTTTCTTTCGATTTCCCACAAATATACAAAAAGAAAACAAAAAAAGTAATTTAATTATATTTACTTTAAATCATTCTCATTTCAAATTAGATAAAGAAATAAAATCATTCTCATTCCAAGATACAATTATGGAAGTTAATAGCGAGATTAAATTATTGTTGGAATGACCAGTAATGTTTGCTAAATTGTAATCTTAAATAATATATTAAACTGAACATGAACATGAACTGATTTAGACACTTATCTTCAATGGAAAAGGTCATGAATTTTAATATTCACTCTACTTGTTGTATTTAAAAAGAAAAGGAAATCTTAAATAATACGGCATGTCATATAAACATAAAAATTAATAATTAATGGAATGAATGTTCTAGAATGCCTAATCTTAGAAGTCTAAAAATTAGTTAGACACTTTTTAAACATTTGAAAAGAATGTATTAATTTTTTTTTTTTGTTTGGTTGTTCCTCGGAAAAGGAAAAACATTGTGTTTGATCAAAAAACGAGAAATCCAACTAAACTTGAACTAAAGAGGTCGACGCGGCCCAAAACCTAAACAAATCTATTGTAATTTAATATAATTAGTAATTAGAATATTTCATTAATGACTTCAAAAGAATAATTCATACAGATGAGAGCAATTATCTACCTATAGATTTCTTTTGGGTGAAACTAAAATTAAAGTCGTGAGGTGGCCGGCCTCAACGGCCACGGATCCATCGTTAGGAAGAAATTCAACTTCTCGAGGAACCCTCCCCTAGACTTCATGTTTTAGTTCAATTTTAATTCTGACTCCATTGACTCAATCAAATTAGCATTTCAAAATTGTAATTAGGGCTAATTTATCATTTAAGCCTCTTAATTTAGGGCTACCTTGGAAACCCTAACTCCACACAATTCTGTATTAAACCATTTCAGAAGCGATCAATCCAATGAAATTCCCATTGTCTTACTCCATTATATATCATTTCTTGGCATTGAATTATATATAAATATTGGGTGCGAGAGAAGCAATTTGTAATTAATTTAAGAGTAAGAGTAGAGTTTATTATTAATTCAAGCTTCCTCCACTTCAAACTTCACATTTCCCCATCCATAAACACATATCAGAAACAGCAACAACAACAAGAAAAAGAGAAAGAAAAAAAAAAAAACAGAGAAGATCAGCAAAAACCACTCCTCAAAATTCAACTCCAACATTTACACCAAATTTGCATTCTCTTTTTATTTTTGAGGTAAGCTTTTACAATGTGTTCTCTCTCTTGCTCTTCTATTGGGTTGTTCCTCTGTTTTTGCATAATTCTCTTGGTATAAGCTCCTACGAATTTGAGCCAAAATATAAAGAAGTTAAAAGGGTTTAAATATTATTTAGTCCCGGGGTGTGTTTGAGAGTGAAAATATTTTTTTCGAGAATGATGATAGAATTAGTGATTTTGAAATAAGAGATTTAAGTATATTGATTTTTCGAGGGATGTTTTAAAAATAAATTTAAAGTGATCTTAAGCTTTTCTAAAATCTAATTTTTAATTTGTCAAACATCATAAATAGAAATGGAAGTGATTTTGACGATGCCTTCGAACTTTGTAATTTGTAATATGTGCCTTGTTCACTTCTTTATTCACTTAAGTTATGCTTGGATTGACGAAGTGAAATATTAAATCATTAACTTTTGAGATGATAATAAACATCGAATGGAATAAAAAGAAAGAATTTGTTGTCTAATTTATCATTGGAGAAATTTTATAAGCTAATCAATAAAGTATATGCATCATTTTTCAGTGCTTAGAAGTTTCAATTTCATATGGAAAGTTCAAAAAAAAATTTCAATTTTAGATGAATTTATAAATTAATTGAGTATGAACTATGAAGTTACATAAATTTTGATCGCCTTGTATTTCAATTTTGTTTTTGGGTAGACTTGTAACTTTATATTTATATTTTATTTTTTATTATGAATAATATATTACAATAAGTTATATCAAATCCAACACTGCCTAGTTCGGGAGGCTCTTTTAACATTTTGCTTATTAAAAAAAAATTAAAGAATAAACCATGTAAAAGTATATTTTAGACACAAAATTTTAATTTTTGTCTAGCAAATCTATGAATTTAAAAAATGTTGAATATGTGAAGTGGATATTATTAGACTTAAAATTAAAAGTTCAAGTTCTATTAAACGTTTATAAATTTCAAGGATCAATTAGACATAAAATCGAAGATTTAGAAATCTATTAGACATTGTTTGATTAAAATGAACAAGTTGAACAATGTTAACGTGAACTATCTTCTTTGATATTGACAAACTCATAAATCTTATTTTAATTAGTAAACAAATATACCATATTTCTAACTAAATCATAGAATACAAAATTATAAATGATTTATTATGTTCAGGGTAACTAAATTTTTAGTTTTTAGAACTTATTTTATGGTTGTTAATAATATAGTCATCGATAGTTTAATTTTCTACCCTGCAATAATTGAATTAAGAAAAAAACAGAGAGAATATAGTCACGATTGTAAGAATATATATGGACAAGTCTAGGTAGGACCATGTTTGGTAGCTATCATATTATTGCACTTTACCATGTTGATTGAAAAAGGAAAAGCAAAAATGTGAAGATTATATTTGATACAAATATATCTATATCTATATATATATATATATATATATATTTTTTTTTCTTGAAATATGGTACCTCTAAGCACCAATGTAAGGGCAAAAAAAATGTTCCTTCAAGTTATATTTTTCTTTGATCTAAATTTTTTGTTGTTGTTCATTTTACTTATATTTTCATATTTAGTAAAATTTTTATTTTAATGAGTTTTGGTATTAAATTCAAAAGAGTAAATGAAAACCAAAATAATATTTATAAGAGGCATTTGTAGAAACAATATACTATAAATATATATTTTCGAATATAGAAAAAGATTAAAATTTGAAGAAAACAACAAAATCCAAATTTATGATACACATCATAAAAACTTCACTTGTTTTAATGTGTATTTTAAAAATTATCATTGCTTTTGCACAAGTGTAACTTTTCTTAGTATATTTTATATTACATTTAAGTTTGAATTTCATCTATGGTTATATTGGTAAAGTTTCAAGCTTTTCCTATATTTGTAAAATATATTTACTTTATACACAATATATTATTGAGAGAGAGAGAATAAAAAAACAAAAACATGGGGAATTATTATTTGTGTGGTGAGACTTTTAGAGAAGAAAAGGAAATGGAAAAAGTAAACAGGAGAATAGACTGTTAGCCGACAGCCATTCATTTGAAAAAATGTGAATGGATACAAAATAATATTATTGAGATTGAAATGTTGTATCCAAAGACAAAAAGAAAATAATAATAATAATAATCATGAAAGTTAAAACTTTTTAAGTACAACCCACACAATTTACCTACGATCAAAAGTTCATGAATTCGAATTCCCAATTTAATTTGTTGTATTAAAAAAAACCTATAATTTGAATATAGTTTCAATTTGGTATCAAGTTTTGTTCGTATAATTTGAGATTAGTTTCAATTTTATCTTTAATAGTATTAATCATTTTAATTTGGTTATTATTGTTTGATTAAATATCATAGATCATCCTTACTATTACAAGATGTAGTTAAATACATTACAATAATTCGGATATGTTAGTTGACGGTAGATCTAGAGTTTTGACATGTTAAGTAAAAAAAATAAATAAAAAAAATTGATGAGATTTTATAGTGGGTAAAWAATGGTTTAGAATCATTTGTGTACTTTTTAAACGAAATTAAAGAGACTAAATTGAAACGATACGCAGCAACTATAATAAAAGCATTGTAAAACCAGAAAACTTTATATTCACCTTCATCACAAGATTTGAGAGTTATTTAATTTTTTTAAATAACATTGGTCAGTAAGAATCTTTTGTTGAGGTGTCTGAGAGGTAAATATCATTCTAAAAAACCATAGGACGAATTTACCATTTTAACCTATCTTTCTACTATAAATTGTATAAGTAAAATGTCACTTGCATTGGACTAGCAGCTAACTGGCAGCAAAGGCAAGATTATGAAGAAGAACATGGGAAGAACACAGAAGCAATATTTGCATTTGCATAATCTGCTGCCATTTTTGCTTCTCCTCATTCTCCTCTCTCTCTCTTCTCCGACCCAGAGCTCGAGTCTCGGACTCCATAGTCAACCTCAGTCCTCGTCGAAAAAACTACACTTCGTGCTCGTCCATGGCGCCTGTCTCGGCGCCTGGTCGTGGTACAAGGTCACCACATACCTGCAATTGGCTGGCCACAATGTGACTGCCCTTGACATGGCTGGCGCCGGAATCAACCCGACGCAGCCCAAGTCGCTGTCTTCGCTCACCGATTACTATGAGCCATTGTTGAGGTTCATGGACGCGCTGCCCTCTGATGAGAAGGTCGTCCTGGTCGGGCACAGTCTCGGCGGGCTTGGAATCTCAATGGCCATGGAGGAGTTCCCCGAGAAGATCTCTGTTGCCATTTTTGTCACTGCAGCCATGCCTGGTCCAATCTCCAATTTAGAGGAAAAGGTTTCTAAAATCCAATCCCATTTTCTTCAATTTTCCACTCTCTCGTAAATCTAAAAGCTTAAGTTTGAGTTTGGATAAATTTAATTATATATAAATATCCCTAACACTTTTTTTCTTCTTTGATAACCAAATTAGAAGAAGATACTTGAAATGTATGGCACTTTCAACAAAAAGGATGAAGAACGATCCAAAGTTTCTGATGCAAAACTTTTTATTTTCACCGAAGAACAATTAGCAACCAAACTTTTCCCGCTCTCCCCGCCTGAGGTTCGATTCGCTAAACCGCTAGCTCACATATTATTTAGTATGTTGTAAAGAGAGTTTCGATCCATTTAGCCATTGATATGTTTGATATTTTTTTAATTTATATATTCTTGGTGAATGTTAGAGTTAATGATCGATAAACTTAGGTTGTTAACGAGTCTATAAAAGTTTATTATCAATTAATTTTAATATTCACATATAAGTATAAAATGTTAAAACATAAAAAAAACTAAAATAAAATAAAAAAGATACTTTGGACTAAAATATATAATTATTTCTTTTATATATATATATATATATACACACACACACACATAGATACATGTGTATATATTTTTCGTCTTAAAAAAGCTAAATAGCTAATTTAAATCTTATTTTTTGATCTCTAAATTGGAATGTTTGTTCTATTTTGATCTCAAAATGTTTAAATTAAGTTCTATTTTGATCTTTAAACTCTCAAAATATTTAGTTTTAGAACTTTTAAGATTAACAACTCTTTTATAATTCTTACCTTTATTTTTCCTTTTAACAAATTGATAAAATATAACTTCAAATATCTATACAAATAATTAATATATTAATAGGAGCATGGTGGGAGACTCCCAAATTAGAAACAAATATCACGTAACTGATCAATATTAGGTGGAAAAATTATATTCCCGAAGATCAAAACTATTACTTTTGGAAGTTTAGGACACACGTTTAAAAGTTCTGAGATTAAAATGAACAATGAGAATGAATAAGACCTTGTTTTGATGTCATTTCAAACATCTTAAATTATCAATGAATCCAAAGGCTTGTTACTGGAGTAGTGTAAATTTAATCATTTATAGATATCTTAACATTGTATTGCAGGATTTGAGATTAGCGACTACTCTAGTGAGGCCGCAGCCAATGTTCGATCTGATAAAATCGATGGAGGAGCTGGATCTGACCCGAGACCATTACGGGTCGGTCAAACGGGCCTTCATCATATCCGAGGACGACGAGATGGCCCTCGAGATCATGGTGTGGGCCATGCTCGTCTTGAACAAGCCGGATCGTGTGGCTGAGATCAAAGGATCAGATCACATGGTGATGGCTTCTAAGCCGCTTGATCTTGCCCAACAACTCTCCACCATCGCTCTAGAATTTGCTTCTTCCACTTCTATCTAACAAAATCCCATTAATCCTTTTGGCTTTTACCATCGTGTGATGCCTTCTTTTCTCTCTTTCTCCTGAAATGTGCTTAAATTTTAGTTTGGCTTTTGCTTCGGTTTAAATTTTATTTCGCTTCTCCACTTTTAATTTCTTTTTTAAAAATTTAGTCCATTAGTTCCAAAATATCTATTTGTCTCTACATTTTAAAATTTATTACATTTAAACAAATAATTCTTGATTCTCATATTTATTTTGGTTGGGTAACGTAGATATGAGGATACGTGTATTAACGTGCTGAAGTAGACAATATTAGAACACGTAGGTTGGCTAGCTAAGGCAGATAATTAGAAAGCAAAATAATAGAAAAGCGATCGAAACATTTTTTTTATTATTGTTTTTAAGTTTGTGGATAGAAATAAACATTTTGAAAGTTTAAAGACCCGAATATAGACATTTTGAAAATTGAAGTTTTAAAATAGAACAAAAATAAAAGTTAAAGAACTAAAATTTAAACCATATGATGCGTGATTCTAGCACATACAAATTTATTGACATGAAGTTCGAGGTGGACGAACATTAAATTTTTAACAACTCATTAATTTTTTAAAAAAATTATTTATTTTTGCATTTCTCTCTCTTATTTGTTAAAAATTTTTTACAACTCACTGCATATTTTACATAAACAAATAAATTGATGACATGTTTAACTACTTGAGCTTGGACCACCTTTGGGTAGCTATCATATTATTGCACTCATTTATGTTGATTCAAAAGGAGGGAAAAAAAAGTTAAATTACTCCACATATAACTTAACTAGGTAAGACATATATACAACAAAAAAGTGGTGGTTTCAAATCTCCATCTCCCGTTGTATTAAAAGGGAGAAAAAAAATCAAAATATGACGATTATAAGGTCTTTGATAACCCTTCCATATATATAATATTTTATTTTTCAGAATGAAAATAGCATGTTAAAAAAGAAAAACAAAAAACCTAAAAGAAAAAAACCAATCTCTTTTCTTTAACACTCTATCTTTTATCTCCTTTCCACCTAACTTTTTCTCTCTATAAATTTTTTTTTAATTCAACATGTAGGGTACGGATTCGAACCTCGCTCCAATCTTTTGATCGAGATAATACATTGAGTTTTGATGTATCACATTTGAAAATAAATTACTTACTTGATCATTCATAGTAGAATGAATTGAAAATAGAGGACCTACCCATAAAGGGAGTAAACATATGGTGAGAGAAAAAAAAAGGTCCAACAAAGAGAGACATATGAGAGAGAGAGAGAAGTAAATGGCTATAAATTATTTGAGAACTTTGAAATAATGTAATGTTTTTTCTTTTTTATAATATAGTTTTGTGTTTAATTTTCTTCTCTCTTATTTAAATTCATCTTTCTTGCATCCCTCTCTATCAAAAATTTAATGGCGGCTCAGTTAGATAGGGAAGTATGAGAAATTAATACTAACCTCGTGCCTCGGCCATTGGAAATTTTGCCATCTAGGGTGGTCCAATAACAAATTGACATGTGTATATGATTTTGTCTTTATATTTATATTTTCTCTCATAAAGAACCCCACCTTTATCATAGGAATTGAAATATTTAGACACGTTTAATTGGTAATAAAAAACAAAAATCTAATTGCAGTCTTTTCAGATTTGTGTTTAGTAGTAAATTTGAAAATTGAATCTCAATTAATTTATTAATATTTTTGATATAAAATTGGTATACATATTATATTATAATATCATATAATTTATAATATATTATATTTTACCTGTTTTAATTTAGCAAAAATGAAATRAGTTTATAGCATGAAATAATATATTTATCAAAGTTTTTAAATTTTTTTTAATGTAATTTCAAATTCAAAACCTGAAAATACTGAAAATAATTGTTTTTGAAATATTTATCGTTTGACTACTGTCATTTGATTCGGTGAGTCTGAAAATAAGAAACAGAATCTAGATCGACTAAYTCTTATTATTCTACATTTTCTACTATAAATTGAATAATCCATCCTAACATACTTGACCTAGCTAGGTACAACTATCAAGATGGAAAAAACAATGCACAAGCCTTTGCTACCATTTTTGGTTCTCCTCTTGCTCTCTCTCCCCTCCACACCATGGGGTGATGAGACCGAGACCGAGACCGAGCCCGAGCCAAACAAACAACACTTCGTGCTTGTCCATGGGGCGTGTCTTGGAGCATGGTCATGGTACAAGGTCACCACGTACCTGCAATCGGACGGCCACAATGTGACTGCCCTCGACATGGCTGGTGCCGGGATCGACCCGACAAAGCCGGAGTCGGTGAATTCGATAGGCGAATACTATGAGCCATTGTTTAGGTTCATGGAAAATCTGGCTTTGGATGCAAAGATTGTTCTGGTGGGGCACAGCATGGGAGGGCTGGGAATCTCGATGGCCATGGAGAAGTTCCCTGAGAAGATAAGTGTTGCCATTTTTGTTACTGCAGCCATGCCTCCGCCGCTCCCCTGGCCCCTTTCTTCCATACAGCAACAAAAACAGGTTTTAATCCAACTCCACTTTCCCCTTTTTTGAAAGAGCAACGAACCACCTGTTTTGTACGCTGTTGTTTGTTTTCATATTCACTGAATTAGAGGGATACAGTGAAATTTTGTTTGTCAATTTTGTTTTTGAAAACGGATCTGTCATAAATTCTATAAGCGAACATATTTGTGTGTTTTTACTGTTTCTCGATTTTGGCTATGAAACTTTAAAATACACAATTATATTTAAAATGATAAAAATTTGGATAAATATATTATTTTATGTTATAAATGATTAAAATTAAAAAAAAGTAAAATATAATATATTTATAAATTAAATAATATTGTAAACTAATAACTTATAAGATTTATTGATAATATTTTAGATTAAACTAAATATTTAATTAAATATCAATATTTTACAAATATATTACAAAATGCCTTAAAATAATTTCTTTAGATTGAGATTCACTACTCAAATCTGCATACAAGCTTGTTTTTATTTGAATCCCTTATTATTATTTTTTTAAATTACCAGTTTAATTAATTTCTAAACTCAATTTGGGAGAGAAGTAATTTTGTTAAAAAGAAATAGTAAAGCATAATTAAGTAAAATATTAAAATATTAGTAAAAATATTACTTTGGTCCTGTACTTTGGACTTTATTTTCAACTTTATACTTTCAAATTATTTATTTTGACTTTGTATTTCTAACTATAATTTGTTCACTTTAGTTATTTAGTTACATACTTTTMCTTTTGGTCCCGAACTATTTTGGTCTCTTAATTAATTTTATTTATAATATCATTTTTTCTATTACAATTTCAACATGATCATCTTTTTAAGATACAAGGACAAAAATGAACCTAATGAACTAAAGTTGAAAATATAAGGATCAAAATAAACYAAAATTGAGAGTACAATAACTAAAATAGTATTTTAAAATCTAAAATATTTTGAGTGAGAATGTAATTGATTATTGAAAAATGTTATAATATAAGGGATTAAATTAAAAAATATCTAAAARATTGGGGACTATATTATATATTTAACCTTTATAATTTAAGGTTGAAAATGAAATAACATATTTAGAATTTAATATAAGTCATCAACTATATATACATTTTTTTTGGTGGATAGAAAAGCCTTTTGAAAATTTAAGTTTAATTTTTATATAAAAATAAATTTGAAGTTTAAAATGACAAATTGATTAAAAGTAAAATAAATCAAATTTATTTAAAATTAAAAAAAATCCAATATATCTTTAAACAATTTTGTGTCTGACCTTCTCTAAAGTTTAAAAAAGTATGTAATAGGACCCTAAATTTTTTTAATTTTGTGTCAAATAGGTATTTAAAATAAATATTCAACATTTTTTAAAGTTAACAAATTTACTAAACAGAAAGTTGAATTAATTTGTGACAAATAGGATCCTTGTCTTTCAACTATTAAATACTTCATGAAATTTTGAAAATGTTGAATAGATTAATTAAAAGTTGAGGATGTATTAGATACAAAATAAAAGGTTTTAAAACCTCATCAGATATTTTTTAAAGTTTGGAGAAATCTATTAGATATATAATTAAAAATTAAAAAATTTATGAAATATAAACTTCAAAGTTTATGAAGTAAATTTATAATTAACATTTTTTTTCCTTTTTGACAACCAAAAGATGAGAATTATACTTGGAATGTACGACGGTTTCTACACGGAGGATCATGAAAATGAAAATGAATCCAGAGGTTTGGGTCAATGGTTCTTCAGCCAACAACAATTAGCAACCCTGCTTTACCCGTTATCGCCCCCCGAGGTTCGTAACTATCTCATTCTAATAATCGTTGGATGTAAATTTGAAATCTATATCTAAATCTATTATTTATAATAGTATGGGGTGGCGTTCACGAGTTAAGTTGAATTGGGTTGATATATTTTTTAGACCCAACTTAATTGTTCGGGTTGTAAATTTACTCAACTCAAACAATCCTTCTTAAATAAAATAAACCCAACTCAACCCAACTATGAAATATTTAGGTTGGATTAGTTCAGATTATTCGGATCATTTATTCAAAATATTTTATAAAAGAAAGAAAGGTAAATGATAAAATCTAAAACATTTATTGGTATATTGTCTAACATTGAATCAAAACTTGTTAATCCATTTTTATTTATATGGTTAAAAATTACACATCCAACAATTTTAAAAAGTTGTTTTTAAACTAAAAAGAATTATTAAATGGAATAAAATTAAAATAAATACAGCTATATATAATTTCTTTAATGAGCGAAACAAATATAATAACTTCGGATTGATTCGGTCGTTCAACTCAAACGTAACTCAAACGTATTTTGAGTGAACCTACTCTGAACCAACTCAATTCATAGAATTACCAAATCAATCAACACCTAAATATTGTTCAATTTATGTTCCTATTTGTTTCTTTCTCGGTGTATGTGGCAGGATGTGACGTTGGCAACTGCACTTGAGAGGCCCGTGCGGGCTTTCGACGTGTTCAAGTCAATGTCGGAGTTGAAACTGACTCGAGAGAAATACGGGTCGGTGAAACGGGCATTCGTCGTATCAGAGGACGATAAGATGATACCGGAGGGAATAGTGGAGCTGATGCTGTTACTGAACGAGCCTGATCTTGTGAGTAAGATCAAAGCATCTGATCACATGGTTATGGCTTCCAAGCCCCATGATCTTGCCCAACAACTCCACACCATTGCTCACCAGCTTTCTTCTTCTTCTGCTGATGTCTAAAAATGTAATAATATGCATGCTAATTAGGCTATCTTCACCCTCCATTATTATAAAAGTTGTGGGATGATGTCATTAATTAGTACTCTTTATGGGTGGAAGCTTTGAATTTATTTTAATGTAATATTCGCTAAAAAGTAAAATTACTATTATTACTTTTAGTACAAAACAATAATAACTATTGTATCTTGAAATGAGTTTCGGAGTTTCGTATGTATGAAAAGAATGTTTGGTGTGGAAATTGATATTGATGATCAACAAGCGTATGAAAATGTTAACACGAGCCTAGTTCACCTATGACCTCTTAATTAAAGATATGTATCGATTATAGTTGAGCTGAGTTCATGTTGACAGATAAGATTTACTTAAACTTATATTAAAAAAACATTTTTCTTAACTCTAATTAAAAGCATTCTCAAACTAGCTCTAAAATTCAGGAGAATTATCATAAATGTGATTTTCTCAGTGTGTTTTATGTATAACATTTGAGTTTGAATCATGGTATTAAATATCCGTCGAAATTTTCATCTAACATGTCTATGTATTTATAGGTTCGACATCGACATGATGAGGGGTAAACCGCCATTTTCATAATAGTATAAAAATATCGACAAGATATAAAAAAATATCAACAAAATGTCACTAATATATACATAACACGAATATTAATCATTTTTTACTTATTTAGAAATAGAAAAATGTTTGTTCGTTAATTCAAATATTTTTTACGATTTCTTAATTTCTCTAATTTTTACATAAATTTTCATCGACATCGACATTTTATCAATATTTCTATTGATATTTTATCGATATTTCCATGCACATCTACATTTAAAACCTTGATTTGAGTTTAATCGAGACTAATTACGCGTGAAATTAACGTATCCATCAATAAATTAACTATAATTAAGCACTCTCACTCTTTTGAAATCCGACAAAAAAAAAAACATAGGCAAATTTTCTCTAAAAGAAAGGTCTTAAGGAAACTAATAACGTTGGCACAAATTAGGTACGTGCTTAAATTTTTTTTTTCTTTTATTTTGGACAGTTTGGAGCAATGAGAGTGTGGAGCACAGGGCGATAATGAAGTTCGTGTCTCAATGCACCAAGTAAAGTTACTGTTTTCTTTTTTGGGTTATTTTTTAACGTTAAAATCACATGTAAATCTAAAATCTTAAGTCCATAGATTAGGATAAATTGAATCATATATAAATATATCAACACTGTGATAGATGTAGATAATATTGGGGCCACATAGGTTGGCTATGACAAATGTTAGGGAGTAAAATAATAGAAACGATCAAAACATTTCTTTATTATTATTTTTTTAGGTTTGTGGATAGAAATAAACCTTTTGAAAATGTAGGGACCTAAATGAGTATTTTTAAAAAGTTTAGAGGTGAAAATAGACATTTTGAAAATTGAAGGATCAAATTGAATAAACACGAAAGTTTAAGAACTAAAATTGAGATTTAACCTTGATCATGTGTGATTCTAGAACAAATGAATTTGTTGATGTGGAGTTCAAGGTGGACAAACATTGCGTCTAAGGTAATGACCTACACGAGAACTCACGCAAGTGTGTGGTGTTGTTGTGCAACACATTCTAATGCTTAAATTCGTATTTAGGCTAAAGTGATATATCAATCTAAGTAGGAGTGATATCACATACCTGTTTCAGAAGGAGATTCGGTATAAGTAATCTAATGGATCTTTACAAGTAAGCAACTGACCCTTTTGATCTCATCTGTATTCTGATGGAAAAAAAAAAGAAAGAATAGATGCATGAGCTGAGGCGCTCCCATGTCCCGATTGTGTCTTCAAATCCTATTTAGTATTTTTATCTTTGTCGTTGAAACAAGAAGTTATATCTCTATTTTCTTTTCGGATTCCGAGGATGAGCCGGCTGATCCTAACATCTTTATCTGAGGAATCGGACCATGAAGCCTCCTCCTCAGACAAATATATCTCCGAAAGACTTTCAAGGAGCCTTGTTTAGCAGGTGCCTTGTGGGTCCCAGAAGTTCATACCCTACCTCAACCGATGTGAGACATGAGTCATCTACTTTGATCGAGCCGAGGTGCTCGCTCAGCGTGGGTGCGACATCCTCGTGTCTTGATGTGTCATATGTGACTTTTCTTATTTGCTTAGGTGGGCCCAGTTGCTACCATGTGGCGGAAAGTTTCATTCACCTTTAATGAAACCTTTTGACTCTAAATGATAATTTGATATGATGTGGCAATGAAAATGGGAATTGAGTAGTTAGATAAAACAAAGGCAAGTGAGCCAAATTTTTATTTTAAAATGGATTTCACTTCCCTGCCATATCAATTTTTACAATCCCCAACCATAATTTTATCCAAGTAGCATATACTCTTGTGCTACATTATGTAAAATGGTTGTTTATCAATCTAATCTATACATCACATCAACATTTAAATAAACAATATTTATGACAGATAGGCTTAATTAATTCTAAAATAAAAAAAATTTAGAAACTAAATTTGTCATTTAACTATAAAATATTAATAAATTTATTTTTTTCTGGTTTGTACCAGATTGGGATGGGAATGAAGTATAAGGAACATTTTGATAATCTCATCTCTCGACGAAAAAATGTGGAAGACGGGAACTATACTCTACTATATTAGTCCTTAAATTTTATATTTGTATCTATTTTAAAAACTATTTGACACATCTTTGAACATTCAATTTTGTATTTGTTTTATAATGAAAATGATCAAGTATATGACTTCAGCTAGAACAGGAAGATGACTTGGAGGACGAATTCGAAACCAACTGAGTAGGGAACCTGCAAAACAGAAGATACTTCGGCGCCCAAGTTATGAAGTAGTCGAACTATATCCGATAGAGAATATAGTGTTCGCATACCTGGAATAGAGGCGGGTGGTCTATATTTATAGGCGAGCTCTCCGACAAGACTAACAGCTATTTAAGGTGACCGTGAATCTGAGAGCGTTTTGTCGTGGAATGTGTCGGAGAGTAAGGTTGAGCAGAGCAGCTTCAGGTCGGTTCAACCACAAAATGGGAACAATACCAAAAGAAAACATGGTCGGCTCAACAATAAGTATTAAGGCCAAGGTAATGAACCTTGACCTTATAGACTCAAGGTCACGTGTAGTTCTCTTCAAATCAGAATTTGCCACGTGCTAGGTGAAAATTCTCATAGAATGTTAAAGTCTCATAATTTTCAATGTTATGTCTGATAGGTACTTGATATATTGGATAAATAGATCTATTAGATATAAAATTCAACTTCATCTCCAAATAATCGCCAACACGAATTTAGTTCAACTATAATTAGTTTTGAGATACTCATAAATGAATTAAATTTACCAAACCAGTTTTTGGATTGAGTGGTGATTTATTCCTTCTTAATAATTAGCATATGTCTCGAACCAAGAAGAATAATGCTAACGTTCTTTTCTTTGTATATTATAATGATTGTAGTCCATTTAACTTCAATTTTGAATTTTGATGATTGATTAAGCAAGGAAAACTTTATAAGAAAAATTAATAATAATAATAAGAGAAGAGGAGAGAAAGACAAGAAACTGCCGCCTGCAACGCACCCAGCCTCCGATCAGACACGATTCCGTCCACATTCATTTCTCCCCAAAATCTCAATAAAATCCCTAAAATTCCTCGTTCGATAAAATCCCTAAAATTCCTCGTTGCCATGGCAGACTTCCAATTCGATCCGGCCTTCATCCTGGCCCCCGACCACCGCCCTAAACTCGCCGTCGCCGAGTTCGCCGACGGCATCCCCGCCGTCGACCTCTCTCTCCCCGACGGCGATCTCGTCCGACAAGTCGGCTCTGCCTCCAGAGACTGGGGATTCTTCCTGGTGACCAACCACGGTGTCGCTCTGGAGAAGCGGCGGCGGATAGAAGCCGCCGCCAGGATGTTTTTCCGGCAGAGTTTGGAGGAGAAGAGGAAGGTACGGAGGGACGAAGGCAGATCCACCGGATATTACGACACAGAGCTCACCAAGAACGTCAGAGATTGGAAGGAGGTCTTTGATTTGACGGTGGCCGACCCGACCGTCGTTCCGGCCTCGCCGGAGCCCCACGACGGCGAGTTGACTCATTGGACCAATCAGTGGCCGGCGTACCCTCCGGAATTGAGGTAATCTCAGCAAAACCCCAAATGGTGGAACGCAATTTCATTGATTTTGACTCTCAATTTAAAAAGTATCCCGAGAATAGCTTAACGGTTAAGAAACTTGTTTGGATGAACTTAGGTCCGACTCTCATGTGTTATACCAATAAAAAATCTAAATTTAACAATTATCTATAAATTAATTAATAAATCACATAAAATAATAAGAAGAATTGAGACGCAAAGTTAAAAATGTTTTAAATTTTGGTTTTGGGCTTAGTAAATACTTGAATTTTAAAAAGCTTTCAAATTATTAGAATATAAGTTATTAAATTTTAAATAATGTCCAGTAAATATTCTTAACACGATTCAAAATTTTAGAATGTTCATAAATTTAATACATTTTTGTATGGTTTAAAAGATTCTTTAGTTATCGAGCTTAAAAAAAAGAAAAAAAAAAAAGAATAGTTGACATTTTTTACAAGATGATGTGGTAGCGTAGAGAGGCGTTCGAGGAATATGTGGAAGAAGTGGAGAAACTTGGCCACAAATTGATGGA